ACTCTAAATGAGACAGTAGCTGAGCGTGCACTGCAGCTGGAAGATAAGGCACTAGAAAGATATCTAAATTTCTGGCTAATTCTAGATGTCAAGATAATTGGATTTTCCAAATTAAACCTTTCTGTAGTTAAAGAGGATTAAGGTTAGGGACTGTAGCAAGGAAAGCTACTGTCACTGTTATGAAGAATTTTTTGCTACAGTGCAGTTTTTCTTCTCCTATGTGTGCTCTAAGCAGGCAAAATGGCAAGAGCTTCATAAAAAAAATTGAAATAGTTATATCATTTGCCATCAAAAGTTGGCAGGGGAAAGCTTTGTTTCTTGTGCATCTACCAATTCACTTTATGAGCTCTTAACAGAATTTTAGTGGGTGTTGAAGGGACAATGTAAGATTGTTTAGGTTAAAGTTTAAGTTTTATTAAAAGGTCTGTGAAATGTAACATTACTAGATACGGTAAAACGTAAGGATATTGCAGAACCAATGTGCTCAGAGAAGAGGAATATGTGGTGTTAGGTCAAATGTAAGTTCATACACTTGATCAAAACAAAGCTTGTTGCTTAAGAGTGTATTTTGGCTTTTTAGTTATTAATAATGTTAATTAATCTTAATTATAGCAATGTATGTTGCTCAAACCTTGTGAATGCTTGTGTTTCATGAACGAATCCATTGGCATTTTAATAGAAGTGCTGACAATATAAATACTCCTTGAGACACCTTGTCTCCAGATGGTTTCTCTGCAGATTTTCTCTGATTCCCTACAATTCCAAAACAGGGATATAAACCTCCTGACATAGCAGAGCATGAGTCAGTCCCATAACTACAAAAAGAAACCTTCCCTATCTTCACATTCTTCTGCAGCCTCTTCTTGAGCGAGCTCTTACGTCTTTGCTGACCCAATAGATTTTGTCTGCTGCTGAGGTAAACCACCAAATTCAGCAGACTCGTGTCAGTGATAGTCCTTACATTATTGTCCATTGCTAAAAGGAGCTTCTTTATAGTTTAAGGTCACCTCAAGGACTTCACTTTTTCTAGCTCTGCTGAAATTCAAGGCTGGAGTGTAGCACCATGTGATGAGATACCACTGCAGAGCTCACTTGCAAGATATAAAAAAATAAAAATAAAAAATCATCTTTCTTTATCATCTTTATCAGTTTAGCAGCTACCCCCATACTCAGGAAAGAGCCTACGCTTCTTCCACTCCACTGCCAGAACAGCAACATCCTCCCTGGTGTATCTGAGGGGACGTTGCAGAGAGGACCCTTCAGATGCAAAGACACTAAAACACCTGCAAGTGGGAAAGCACAGTGGTCCTGTCCTCTCTACAAGGACTCTCTTGAAAGCCTTTGCAATCCTCTCCATGGTGCACAGAACAACAGATGATGTTTTGTAGGTATCTCTGTTTCCTGGACACTTTGCCAGATACTCATCCATGAGCATGGACTTCAGTATATAAAGGCTTAAGCATAAAAATCCTTAAGGATTTTATTGTATAAAGTTTCCTCCTCCAAAGTTTTTTACAGGCTGAAGTTTTATGTCCTTAAAGACTTTACCCCATAAAAATCCAAGAAGATAATAAAACAAATAGCATCTATGTCCAGGGCCAGTAGCTTGGGGGAAAAAAAATGCTCTTGGGTAGTAATAACACCTTCAGTAGCAGTATTGACCAGAAACTACAGATCTATTATTTTCCCCGTTGGCTGACATTTTGCTGTCATTGCCCTCTGAGCTAGTCACTATTTGCACGCTGTGCAGAGCAGCCATGGGTACATGGCAGTGCAGAGACATTACAGGGGTGACTTTGAACTCTTCTTGAGGATGACAAAGCCAAAAGTGAACTTTGCAGGCAGAACACAGAGCTTGTCTGGTCCAGCCTCTCACGTTTTCATCTCACTCCGTGCATTTTAAATCTGAAGCGTATGGGTACACCCAAAATCACATTCACATGCTCATATTAATCCAGACTAGGAAATGGCTGCTGAGTTATAGAAAATAAGCAGAACACCCAAGAGCTCACACAAAATAAGGCTGACCTAATTCTGTGCCTATAGTTACACATGAAATTCAGTAAACCTTGAACGAGCAGGCCTCTGCTTTTTCTTGAAATGTACCTTGGAAATCTGGATTGACACCATTGTTTTGCTACTGATCCTCCAAGGGCCCTGAAGAGAGTTAAAGCCCATAGAAACATGAATCCCTAAAATCACTTTCCTATAAATCAGTGCAGACTGGTAAGTATTCCCACAGAGAGGAGTGGGCACAGATCCATTCATGGGTTCCTGAGCTCTTGGCAGGAGGACACAGTTGCTGTTTTCTGGTCTGATCCCCCCAGATCTGTGGCATTAACCACAGCTGTGCCCGTGCAAAGCTGGAACCTCCTTACCAAGGGAGAACATTATTACTGCCCTAGGTGGTGATACTATTAGACACATTTGAAGCTTGTTAATTTTCCAGGGCTAAACCCTGGTCACTCCAGAGTGCTTCCATTCCAGTAAATGCAGGATAATGGGCTGATTAAGTAGAGTAATCTAAAATACCCTTGACATCCACACAGAATATTTAGCATAAGAGTATTTGGTGTGCATGTATGGCAGCCTACCCCAATATCTGCTCAAAACAACCATATCATTTCTACAGTATTTCTGTACTATACCTCATACCCATAAACAGGAGGGAAATAAACTCGCATAAGACACATCGGAGGACCTGTTGTCTAAACGTGTTAGAGAAGAACACAGATACTTAACTAATTGGCACTCTCAGCCTTCTGTTCTGGGTTGGTGGGAGCAGTCATCAGCTAAACAAATGACTCAGGAAGGCACACTATGTCTTGGATAATTTTACACAGGTGGAGGAGAGACTGGAGAAGGAAAGTGAGGATTTGGCAATAGAACACCAAGCTAGTCCCTTAAGGATACCTTCCCTGAATCACTTCAGTATATAAGGTGATCTGGGAGATCCATACATTCTGTTAAAAATGTATATATCTTTTCCTCTCATGCTTTTCTGACCGTCTCTAATAACTTCGTGTTGTTATTTCCACTACAAACCATGTTTACTCTTTTGCAAAGGTACATATAATGAAGCCTTACAGGTCCTTCAGCTTCCAGAAACAACCACCCAACATCAAGGAGGCAAAATCTCTGTTGGCAACAAACGCAGCCAAAGCAGTGCTTGAGGTGGACTCATCCAGAGCCCAACTCAGGAGGATCTGCACCTCAAGCTCCCTTGCACTAATCAATAAGAGTACCGAGCATGGCTCTTTCCAGGCTGGTAGCTCCTCCTGGCAGTTCCAGCACCACCTCATTGGGGTCCACCAAGTGTGAAACCCATCTCTCCGCAAAAGACCAGCATAACGCATCATTTGAGTCATTTTTAAGGGATGACAAGGTTCATAAGCTTCACGTTGCCCTCTGCACAGGAGTGAATTTTACTCTTAATGCAAATGATGTCTAAATGCAATATTTTAAGAGTAATACTCCATATAGGCACCGTGTCTGATTGATGCCAACCCAAGGAGTAATATGAATGCACAGTATTGTTTAACCAGCTCCCAAGGACTGAATAAAACCCTTGGATGAAAGATGTGACCTTCAGAGAGCATGGAATCACTTTTTCTTTTCATCTATAAGATAATTTATCTAGTACTTTTCTCCTCATTGAAGACATAGGCTCGCTGCACTGAAAACTGTTTACAAATGTTCTTTCTCCATTAAATTGATTTTCTGAGCATAGATAGGCAGTGTTTTCTGGAAGTAATTTAAATTCCCTTCTAATTAATATTCAAGACCAATCTTTGCATGACTGTGCAATTATTAAAGGGAAAATATCTGTGAAAGTAATTTTTTAAATTTTTTTTTTAACTAGCCATTAACCGATATGAAACCTTATAATTTCTTTGCCTTCTTTTAGGCTATGCTTGATGAAGCCATCACTACAGAAGTATCTTTTTCGATTATGTACACACCATTTGTGAAGGACATGAAGGCTAACAAAAGAAACGCGATAAGGGACATATTTGTTAAAAAGCACCCTGATTACTCGGCGTATATATATACAGGTAATGGCAGATTTTACATGCTCTTAAACACTGTATATTGTTTGTGTGTATGCGGCTGACCTAGAAAGAGCTTGAGAGAGCCTGGAACTTGAGCTCCAGGCATTTCTACACCCCTGGGGAGGGAAAATTAACTTCTGATATTTGTCTATGATTTATATAATCAAATCAGTACTTAGGTGAAGTACAGACTTTACCCTGCAAATCCCCATAAAGATGATTTTCATCCATGTAGCCCCATGCTTCTCTTGTTGAATTTCGTGATTGCAACCAATCTTTTGCTCAAAGACAGATCTGCAGTGCATTCTGGTGATAGCAAGACCCAAGTTCATTCCCATCTCCATGGATTTCCGTTGGTCACCAATGGTCATTTCTGCAGCAGGGCCTTGCTTTTCCAAAAATATGCTCCCTCCTATGAGCACTAAAGACCACCAGCTCTGAGAGCATCTCAGGTTTCCTTTAGCCTGTTGAAGCCAAGTAGGGTCCAGAGTGAACAACGGCTTTGTAGAGCCCATTGTCATCTTCTGGCAGAGTGAACTCAGAGAGCAAAATGATGCTTAAATTCTGGTGGTCACAGCCTTATTTCGAGAGGAATGGGCATGTCATTTTGGCAAACGAGAGGCAAGTGGATAAAAAGCATTTCTTCCTGTTGTTAACGCGGTGACTTGGAACATAGTTGACCCTGGTAATGCTTGGCTTTGACTTGGTGATTGAGAAACGTCTCAGGAAAAACTTTTTTCAAGTCAAATTTGGGAGGGGGAGTTGAGTTTGATGTTGGATATGTGTCTAGTTCATTATGTTTCTTCTTTCCTTATTGGTACTATTATTGTTTTATTTTTCCAATCCATTAAGTCTCTCTGCCTTATTCTCCTTCCTTTTCTACTTCGGGGAGGCAGAGGGCTTAGAGACCATCTGTCAGCAGCCCGCCCTTAACCCTCAAAACTTGCTGATGTGACTTTGTGGAGAATTTGCTGGGGCAAAAGTATTGGCATTAAAGGGAGCATAAGATAAAACTCCGTGAATTTGATTTTTTTAAGGATAAATTCTTATTTCACCTAACTCCTTCAGTTTGCAGCAAGGGATTTTCAGGAGCACATAAGCAGCAAAAGCATGCAAGTTTTGCAATGAAATGCAATCTGTGTTCATAAATCACTGAATGATTCTGAAAGCATCATCAACCATTTTCTTACTCCTTCCAATAAGGAAAAAAAGAAGGGGAAAAAAAATAAGAGGGCAAGAGGTAAAAGTTCTCAGTCCTATAGTTATGAAACATATTGAATAGAGCCAGTTCTGCCTTCAAATATGCTTATTTACCAAAAAAGAATATGTATTGACTAAAAGAATTGCTTCAATTTTATACAAGTTTCTCTGAGTGCAGGTTCTGCGACCACTGAAGTTTCTAGGGGTTAAATGGGATAGATAGCCAAGAAAAAACAATATGGGTGTCAGGATTTTGAGAATGCATTGACGTGAGTGGACTCAAGCAGGTGGGACCTCTCCCGACCTCCCTCCTTTCTATCATGGAAACCTTCTCAGACAGACCAGATGTGGTTCTTTTTCCTAGACTTGATGCTGAGATAACTCACAAAAGCCTTAGGTGATGTCAGCTGAAGCAGTAGGGGTTTACTCAGCTTAGCTATTCAGATCTGACCTAAAACCACACTGGCCACCTAAAAAAAACCCCACATCACAAGCAATGAGTTTAGCTTGCTGTCAGTGTGGTGCCTGCAGGTCTGTATCTCACGTAGGCAAAATTAAATCTATGAGCTAAGCCCCATTTTATCAGTGGGTGTGAAAAATCAGAAGTCTCACGGACACGTAGTTTTAAAAGCACCTTCCTATCCTGTAACAATCATCCACCCTATTTTAGGCCAGGTTCTGCTAGAGAGTAAGAAATGGATTGCTTTCATAGTTTTCCTTAGTGCTAAGGAAAAGGAGCCGAAACACACTTAAATCCAAGTGTACAATGCAGTTTGTTGCAAAAATTGAGAATCTATCAGAAGCCGAATAAGCTGCAAGGGAAGTATCAGGTCCACTTGCTTTGATTTATAGAGGGGTGAGTCCGGAGGGCTCCGAGAGGGGTTCCCCATTTGTCACCGTGATCGCACAGCCTGGCATCTTAAAAGTGGAGCTCGTGAAAAACAGAGCACTCCTCGGTGAAAAGTGACACTGACATTCAATCTAGGTTTATTTTTTTGCAGGGGAAGGGGAAGGAGTGGACTGGTCTGGTTCCCCAAGCAAAAGGTGGTTTATACAATTGCTTTGAGCATCTGTCCTCGCTGAGGTCGGGGCAGACGAGCGCAGCTGATACACGGGGGTTTTGGCAGCAGCAATCACGAAGTCTGGACAAGTCACAGCGCAGGCTGTTAGCTGCCAGCTGGGTGGATGGGAAAGGGCATGCAGGAAACCTGGGATTATGGTGGCGGTGACGGTAAATGCACAAATCTGCAGGAAATCAAACCTCACAGACTTGGGGAACAACAAAACAGCTTCTTTTACAGTCAAAAGATCGGGATGTTACATTACTGAAGTGTTGAGTTATTAACGCTTTGGATGATGAGCACTGAGAAGCGCATAAACAGAAAGAACACATTTTACCTTACACATCAGCAAAGTTTAAGCTGTTGATGCAAAAAGTTGCAAAGTTTGGAATTTCAACACTCAGTTACAGCTGAATGGGTTGTTCTGGTAACCTTTGGCTTGTCAAGCTTTCTAGATTACATTTCACTCCTACTTAAATTTCCCCTTTTTTTTTGACCCTCCAAAAAAGCAGCTTCCCTTACAACTGAAATGTGACAGTGGAAACTCTTTTCACTTCCCTACTGCAGATCCTCACGGATTTCACATCTTGCCACAAACGGCTGAGTGGCCATATCTGCCTCACAGGAAGTACTCACTGACTCTGGGTTTCAGAAACAACCAGCTTCGAAAAATCTTGGAAAGGTGGTCAAGCAAAAGAGTGCCAATCTTTTCAGGTAAACCAAGTTGCTTAATAGCTGGGATAACTCAGGGGTCACCTCCCTAATTCTTGCTAAGACAAGATGGGTGGGTTTATCAGAATCCATTTCTCTGTGCCAGCAGCCCTGACTGTCCAAACAGCTCTCCTCATCCTCCTCTCCGGTTTACCCATCAACTAGATCCTCTATGGAAAAAGTACATGAACCAGCACCATATATGGTTTTGTGATTTCATTTTCTAGAACGGAAAGCACCTTTCTGTCCTCTCACAAAAGAAGAAGCAAAAAGATTTTGGGATAACACTGGGAAAAAGATCATGGCAGTAATGGATATCATAAGAAGCACCAAATTAATTGTGAGTATAAAAACCCTTTGGGGCGTGTAGCTCGCATGGTGGCAGAAGCCCTTGAATGACAAGTGATTTTTGGTGGCTGATTCATTGTGCACAGCTGGTGATTGATAAACACCTGAGACGTTTCTGTGTCCAGAAACACTTGGTGACTTGCGTTAGGAACAGAGTTCTAATGGGGTTTAGATAATTTTAAAAAGTAACCCTAATTAATTAACAGTGCCCCCAGTTTATTTAAAATCACTTTGCATGCAATTTTCTCAGATCTTTATGGCCTATTATACCCCTACTTCATAACCACCAAAACTACTTATTATATTTAACACCCTTAGTATACTACACATATCAGCAGAATCTCCATCAAGAGTTAATAATTGCTGCTTAAAGTATTTGCAGTGATTTAGATCTTGATCCCTGTGTAGTGAAGTATATGAAATAACCTTCAAATCTGTTACAACCATATTGAAGGTATATTAGTTAATTCTACTCCATACTTTCTGCAATAGTGTACACAGCTCTTTAGTACGGTGGCTTTTGATTAGCACAAAAGGTCAAAAATCAAATTTGCATGTAGACTAGACTGTTTTAATGCAATTCTTAAATTATTCTCCTGAAAATAAGTGGAAGAAGCGTCTCCTCCCCAGATTGTAAATGCTAATGTTAACACTTTTCCCCTAGCAATAACAGTTTTTTAGTTTTCTGTATGTTGAAAGAATCAGAGCCGCTTCCTCGTCAGGGGTGTCTCAGCAAATCACAGGATTTATATTCTTAGGTTTTGATACCAGATAGGAGGTTGACAAAAACTGCTACTTAGCAACCCCTAGCAAGGGAGAAACATTAGCTAGATATTTGGGGAAGCTATATCTCCTTTGCTCTCAGAGAACAGCTGCTCAAACAACAGTAAGTGCTTGAACTCACAAGCTTGGTGGGAGGTAAAGGTGCTCGATGCTTCACCAGAATGGGTGCTCATAAAGCATCTGCGTCGCTGTGAGGCAGATGGAGCAGGCTGAGGGCAAGCAACGGCTGCTTCTTCCCAGCTTTTTCCTGAAGCCATGTGCTGTTGGCTTTGGATGACCGAAAATTGATGTGCAGGCTAATAGAAGCAGCATCTTTAGGAAAGGGAAGTACCTGTTATCGCTCTGGTGCATTGCACTTTGAACATTTAAGCAGCTGAAAGGATAAACAGGCAGTGGCTTGGGTACTGGGTAGAGGATGAAAGCCCCAGTAAAACTCCAATTTTTAAAAAATATTTTTTGACCCCCACAATTTTCTCTTCGGGTGTAGCATAGAGCTTTTAGAGGTGAGATTCTTCTGTTGCAGCTGTTCAGCCTCTTCTCAGGAAGAGAAAAATCTTTGAAATCAAGTAACTTTTGAATTCCCTGTAACTACCATATTCTGTAAATGAATTTGGAGGAACAGGACCTCATGGTTCAAGCAGAGGTATGTGGTTTCTGGTATGCAGGTTTTAAGGAGAAGAAAACAAACTCCTCACGTAAGAGATGAGAGCAGAGCGGTGTGCTAGGATTGCTCAAGCCAGTCCCCACTAGCCATATGAATTTACACCACTCCTATGCACTCATATTTTCTACCAGCTCCGGACCTCACCTCATACATTTAAATATTCTGGTCGAAACAAAAGAGAGCTCCCAAAAATAGGAGATGAAATCCCAGCACCACTGAAGTCAGCAGCAAACTTGGCTTTTTTTTTTCCAAGGAGGTCAGCACAGCATCCCCATGGCTCAGGCAAGATCTACCCCTGTGCCACCTCCAGCAGCAGCAAGATTGAGATAAAAGGTCTGAACCATGGTCCTATAGATTTATAACCAGCCAGCAGGGGAGGGGGGAGTGTGTCAGTATGGGAGCTTTAGTGGAAAGGAAGAAAGCCCTAAGAGACGAGAAACTATCACTGAGTTAGGACAAACAGCCACCAATTCCACATCCATCATCGGTGGAAACATAGGGAGTGTATCAGTATGGGAGCTTTAGTGGAAAGGAGGAAAGCCCTAAGAGACAAGAAATTATCACCGAGTTAGGACAAACAGCTACCAATTCCACATCCATCATCGGTGGAAACATTCACTTTCCCTTCGGTTTTCATAGCATTGAACAATCCAGGCAAGACAGAACCTCTGACCCAAAGAGCAAATGACAAAAGCAATTATACCTGATAATACAGATAGGCACAGAGCCAGAACTGCTCTGCTACTGGCGATTAAAATCTCTTTATGGGCTTGGCAGAGATTTGACCACTTTCACTTCCTTGAAAGTATTCCAAAATTTTCTTCAAGCTAGAAACGTGATTCCATCTTATTTCCATCACACGCAAACCACATTAAAAACTTCTGCAAGACAAATTTCAGATATGCTCCAGCTTTACAACTTACTATAAGAATATAAAAGAATATATTTGTTTATAATGGAACAAACATTCCTTTCTGTCCTCTTCATTTACACATGCAAACATACAATCCAAGATGTTTGCCCTAATCAGATTATTTTTTCGACAAAAATATCTCAGTGTTAAACTAGAGCTTATTAAGCCATGGCAACACTTAATATAAGTCAATTCTACTACCTGAGTTTTGCAGATACGCAACCTAGAGTTAATTATATGATTTATACATGCACCACTGCTGGTAAGACGTGAAGTTAAAGGTTAAAAAAACAGAGCATTTTCTATTGCCCCCACCCTCTTCATAAAGAACAGCCAGTCCCATTTAAAGCAAGGGGACATTTCTCTATTGTACAGAAGAAGCATTTGAGAAAAAATGTCACAGTCTGGTCACTACACGGCATCATCTGCTGCTGTTGTGGAAATGCCATAAACCTCATCTACCCAGAAACACATATCATGGCACAAAGGTTATTTTATTTGCCTTTAGAAGTATTTATCATTCAGACCTTCAGCTACTCCTATTCCACTTAAGATTACCAGCACTGACAAGTGGTTACTCTATCAAGTGATTTCACTGGGGTAATTTCTGCTGCTTTGCACACACCAGGTTTGCCTCTCTCCCACTGCAATCCCACACCGATGGCACGTGATGCCACTTAACAGGAGAAACAGTGGCCAGAGGGGCTTATTAGACAGCTCATATTATAAATGTGAACAAAACCTACCATATGATTCACAGCACGGTGCATACATTTACAGATCTCACTGCTTTGTTGACTATTTTTTAAGTAGACGGAAAGTGTTTACTCCATACAGATTTCAGCATACACGTTTTCTGGAGGATACCAAGGGCATTAAAGAAACATTATGATGGATTTTTTCCGCTTAGTATTGCAATACACTACAGAGCTGCTTGCAAGGCATAACTTCATTCAGATTTTGGGCTGAAAAGCAGTGGCAAAGACTCCACAATAGAAAGGAACTACTGGGGGGCATTCTGGACTTTTGCAAAGCAGAGCTCTTAAAGCTGACAGCGAAACATGTCACACGTATTGGATACGATCTTACTTCAAATCCAGGAAGAAGGATTTACTTTTCATAGAATCATAGACTGGCCTAGGCTGGAAGGGACCTTAGAGATCATTTTAATCCAGCCTCTCTGTCATGGGCAGGGATGGCACCTCTCGACTAGACCTTTTCTTTAACACTCAGCAATTAAACTTTATTTATAAATAGAAGTGGCGTAAGGGATGACTCCTTGCTTGAGTACAGAGGAAAGCAAAAAGTGGGGGTATTATCCCAAAATTCTCAATAGATGAAAGAGCACATGATTCTCTCCTCTCACATGTTCTCCAGCTCCTTTTTGCAGTGAAAGCCTGTCCTGTCATTGCTTGGGTTGTTAGTGATGGGTATTTAGCATTAGTGGGTGAGCTCTATCCAGAACAGGTTGATATGCTTTTTTGTAGGTGCTTTTTCATCTCAAGGTCAGAGAGATGACGATGTCACAGAGCTGATCTTCAGGCATCAGGATCTTATTTCTCTCCTAGAAGGAAGGTCTTCAAAGACTCCTCAAGGGATAAACACCTTACTTGAAAAAAAAAAAGTCCACCAATCGTTCATTTTTACTTTTTTTCATATTCTCCTTGGAATACCAGACAATAGGGGTGACACCCATACAGAAAGTAGCAGCATCATAATTTGTTTTTCATTGTCTTGATATGTTACTGCAGTTCTAACCAGGAGGCAACTGTGACTCCATATAAAGCATTTGTTGGTTCCTTTGCTACCTGCTTCATCAAATATGCATTTCTTTCTTAAAGGAGCCAACTCTTTTCCACTGAAGTCTCCATTTAAGCTTGCTCTTTAATTAACCTTCACTCTGACTACCTGAGCTGGTTTCATTTTCATCTGATTGCTCGGCCACTTTACTATGTTTTTTGCTGAAGCTTAGTAGCCCCTTGAATTCTGCTATAGTTCATGTAATTCTCGTCATGTGGTTCAGCTCCCCGTGGAATTTTTTCTCCTGCCAGTAGCAGCTATTTGCTTTTTCTTTCTGCATTTTTCATTGTCACTGAAATGCTGCCTCCGACAACGTTCAACCCTCTAATCCCTTCCAAAATACCTCCGCTGTCGGTTATTTATTTATTTACTTCCAACTTACTGTAAACTTAAATAGCACTGCTATGTCCACAGAGTGCGTGTTGGCACAGATGCCCAATTTGTCTCCCATAGCTACGTGGCATGCTCTCATATTTTTCCGGAGAGTCAAGCAGAGAAAAAATTGTTTTCTTTTTCCTTTTACTTTCTTAATCATTGAAGAAACCCCCAACAGACACAGCATGGTGAGAGAGGAATTTTACCTGCTTTCTTAGCTGATGACTCAATACACTCATTTCTTAGTACTTACACAGAAAGGTTTTGGGCAGATTTCAAGAATAGCAGGGAAAAACCTTTTGCTGCATCTAAACTGTTGTGAGACTATTTCATCTTGATAAAAGCTCTCTTTCTCTCTATTAACTGATTGCTTCTCCTTATTTTAATGCACACAGCTATCTGGCTTTCAGGCACCGATGGTCAGGTGAAGATGGGGCTGTGGTTTGAGCCTTGCTTTAGTGCCATGCTAACCAGCCTGTGTCAGACTTACAATTTCCCATGTCAGAGAACACAGAAATCTGTTTTCTCGCTGATGTCTCCCACTAATACTAGGTCAGGTCCTCAGAAAAGGACTCTTCAAGTGATAAAAATAGTTTGCAAGGAGGTTGTCATCGTCTGCCTTCCCAGAGGTGGGTCAAGGAAAGTTCAGGAGAAGGGAGGCCTGGCAGGGCTCTCCTGGCTCCTCAGTCAAATCTGCTGCTGTTACACACCTTTGTGTCACCTAATATAATAGAATCATAGAATAGCATAGGCTGGAAGGGACCTTAGAGATCATCTAGTCCAACCTGCCTGTCATGGGCAGGGACGCCTCTCAACTAGATCAGGCTGCTCAAGGCTCCGTCCAACTTGGCCTTGAACGTCTCCAGGGACGGGGCAGCCACAACATCTCTGGGCAATTTATTCCAAAGTCTTGCTGCCCTCGTACTGAAGAATTTCTTCCTAAGGTCCAATCTAAATCTATTATCCTATTCATAAATTGAGTTAAATCCATCTTAGAACTTCCTGGTTTTTCTGCTCTTGGTGAAACACACTGCAGACCTTCAACTTGAAGTAGAAGCAGCTTAATTGCCACCCTAGTCTTCTTTGTACCTATTTATACACAACGGTCCTTCTATTATCATCGTCTTTTATCTCTCCTTCCCTTTTCAGTTGTTTGCTCTCTTTAGAATTTAGCCCTGCATTATGTTTATTGAGGAGAATAATAAGCTCTTGGCACTTCCATTAATAGACTAATCAAACCACACTTCTCTCAAAAGAGGTATCGCCTACCGTGCTGGCTGCTCTGCTCCGTGGGGCTTGGGTTTAAATTAACCTCTCCAAACACAGCTGACTGGAGCTATCTGCAATACTCCAGACATTGCTGACCAGAGCTCCTTTTCCCTTTGCAGTGCCTGATTCTCTCCTTCAGCAAGTGGAATTACCAGTTCACTGGTATATATATTAAAAAGGGTAAAATTAACTATACCAGAATTATTATTCTTTTTCTAGAGTTAAAACTAAGAATTTTTTTCCATTAGTATTCTTGTAAGATGTATAGAAATCAAGAGCAGCATTGCTATTAATTCTAAGACTTGATACAAGAACTATGTTGACAGTCATTTCAGTAACACTTGATGCTTGTCTAGTGAAAATTTCTGAAAAACCACGAGCAAGAACAAACCAAGTGATCAAGATTCCTTGCCAAGAGAGGTTCATCTTAGAAACGGAACATCATTTATTGAAAAATAAATGTCATTCACAACTTTCCTTTTGCCCTGTTCAATAAAGGACCAGACCTAAAATCACCTGGAAGCGTATGGAAATGGCAGCATCAGTGTAACTGCCAGAACAAAGATCTGCTAAAAATACTGGACGTGGTTTTGGAAATTGATGCCAATTCTTGGAATTTCAGGCACTTAAATACATTCAAAACCCTGATTAGATGAATGGAAATTTCACTCTGAAGGGCTGAGCATTCAGATATACCATGGCTACATCTCGTCAGGAATCTAGGCCAAATTGCTTTCGAAAATCTCAGCAGGGTGCTTATTTGCATTTTTGGCATCAGAACACTTTTGAAAATATGGTGGTAAGGCTGCCATCCATCAAATACTTCAGGAGGTGCTGAGATTTTATGCAAGCACTTGGCTGAGTTTCACTATTCCCATGCTTAAAATTGACCACGTGCCCGGCTGCCTGGAGGATCAGAGACCACCTCTGCAAGTTTTAGTCCCTCAGGGTTGTATATTTGAAAACCATGGATTTGCCTAGGCTGCAAACAAACCACAAGCTGACACACTGCACGGTTTCCTCACCCTCTTCACTGAAACTTTAAAAGCAATCCATAAAAGTCAGGTAACACTTAACAGAAGGGATTATGGAAAAATGCTTCCAAATGAGAAAATTGCATTCATGTTTATCTGCTGTCTCCCCTTCACATATATTATAACTGTATATTTCTTTTTCTAGTACTACTAGAGAGATTGTGGCAATAAAGTATTTTTTTTAATTTTTTTTTCCCTCTATAAAGATTGTCAGCAGCATTATCTTAAAGGTGCTGGATGCCATATTGCTTACAGTATTACCAGCATAAATATATGTGATAAAGCCTCAAGGCGCAGGACTCAAAGGATAAGTGTTTTCTGCAATTCTCTCACTGACTTGCTTTTGTCGAAAAAAACAGGACGATATCTGCCCGTGCGCACGTGGGATAGAGAAGTTGCATTATGCCAGCCTCCTCGGCCATTTGGAGAGAGATGAGGAAAAGTCCCAAGAGATTAATCAAGCGATGGCTGAGCTAGCAACCCTCCCCTACCTGCAGGACATCAGTCAGCAGGATACCGAACTGGTAAGTATTTATTTCTAATACTTGCTTTGGCCTTTAGAGGCGGGGAGCCAAGGAGGGAAGGGCTGGGGCAGAGCACTGCTCTGCAATTCACTCTGGAAGTTGTTTTGCAAATGTGTGGACCTGAAGTAGCTTTAAAATCCTACTGGGGTGCCTTGTCAGAAGAGGTGCTAATCACCTGCAAGGATGACTTTTATAGAACCAGCATGACTCATCTGTAGGCATATTTTTAAAACCTCTTCTTTTCCCCCAAACCTCCCCAAATCAGTCTGGGAAAATGATTGCAATTATTCAGATTGTGATACTTTAAGATATCCAACAGCAGAAGCCACCTGCAGCAAAACAGGCCGAATCTAGTTAAAGCTAAGGAGAGCAGGGGGAAAGAAGGCAAAAGATATTTTTTCCTGGTTCCGTCTATGACTTGCTCCCTGCATCTGAATAAACCCCCTTACCTGCTGTGCTTTTGTTTTCCCTTTGCAAAATGAGGGCAGGGATGCTAGTAGGGCTCTTGCAAGACTAGAGGACCGTACAGTTACTCTTCCACGAGACTATCAGGTTTTCTGATGGGGGACGGAGCTCACCTACATGCAAATTTTAAGCATTTCATCCTAGCAACAACAACAACAAAAGGTCCCTCCACAATCCCGGCATTTAAATGCAACCCAATTTTGATGATCCAAGTTCAGCTCGCTATAAAACCTCTTGGTTTTCCCAAAGCCAGTCCCCTGACATTTGTTTGCAGTCCTGCAAAGCTCCTAAGCTCTGTAGCATGAAAGCTTCACAGCAGCTTGCTTTAGGGGAGACAAGCAGCGACCTGCAACCGCGGGAGGCGGCTGCCAGACTTTGAAGTCTAGGCTCGAGATAACGGGAAGCGGCGTTGCAAAGAAACAACGCTATTAAAAGACATTCTCCTTTTGACGCAAGTTTCCTAGCATTAAACTTCAGCAGGCCCACATTTCGAGGCTGACTAAAGGGTTGTGAGATATTGGTATGTATTTCAGTGATAGTTTTTTCTCTGAGGTGCATTATTTTCAGTAAGACATGCGTTAGGCACAGGCTATTACGCTCTTGCCTGTATCTTGCCATGTAGTAATCACAAGCCTGACCTCCCTGGAAAGCTTTTTGGGGAGGCTCCAGGCCACTCAGGACAAAGGTCTTCAGCCTCTTAGAAGCAGGACTGGGCAGAAAAGGGAGATTTAAGTGGCAGACTGTAAATCTTTCAACAGAACACATATGCTTTGCTCACTGAGCCCAAGATAAAAATGATTTTTAAAAGAATAAAGGCAGAAAATCTCTACCAGCTGCCCTGTCCAGAGCCTTAAAAAATGTATTAATTCAGCATTCATTTATTTTCCTTTGTCCTGTCCTCCTGCTGTAAAATATATCTTAATCTGCGTGTACAAATGAAGGCTCACGTGCTTTGCAGCTAGGAGTATTTTAGCAAACTTCAGGAATCACAGTGCTTAAAAGAACTTGTAGAGTGATTTCACTAGGGACTGGTTCACGGGCTTTGCCTCTCCTGGTGGCACCAGCCCCATGGCACAGGCTCCTTTTATACCTGGAGGGACCATTTCCCTGCCAGACCCCAACCTCGTTGAGCACCGAGAACCCTTGCCCATCGATGACCAATGGGTCTACAAGCACTGAGCACCACTGCCCATTGATGACCGATGGGTCTGCACACCCAAAGCATCCTGGGAGTGAGCGAAGGACCCTCGCTTGCTCAGCCCACCTGTCATCCTCCTTACACCGAGGTCAGGGCAGGATGAGACATTGCGGGACTGGGCTGTACTGGTGTGGTTCTTCAGCTCCCGATGGATGCTACAGAGACAGCTCCACATGTCCACGGAGCCAGAACCACAACACCCACATTGACTCCACATGCTTTTCACTCTTCAGCAACATTTCTAAGAGATAGCTAAATTTTTCCGTGAAGAAAACAGAGCTGGCCAAGTTCTAGTCTCGCTTGTACTAATAAAAATTTAAAGTGATTCCTCTGAGCTCATTCTGACTTTACATTGTTAAAATTGTGATAAGACTTTATGACCAAGGAAGGCAGTTAAATTGTGTGAGTTAGAAAATGCTAAAGATGCCAAATGTTTATTATAACATACAGTGTAAGTTGTATAAAGTTTAAAAAACGCTGAATTTAAAATAGTCCAATTTGCACTGATACAGCAAGGATCCCAAAGGCATTTCAGTTATAAACTCTCCTGTATAAGTGTCTTCCTGTAACTAAATAAACAGAGTCCTAATCTATGGCACAAGGAACCTCAACTGAGACCTTTTAAAATCAGTATTTATTCATAGACTCTGGGAAAATAAAGACTTCAGTTAGCCTGAACAACCAAAAACCCTGAAGAACATCTTTCCAAGATTTATGATTTCAATGTCACGATATTTGTACATCATAAATCAAGATGAAAGCTTGTTTAAAAAAAAAAAAGCAGAAATCTATTTCAATTTAAAATAAAATGAGGACAAGATATTTTTTAAAATGCAGTATTTTTCCTTGGAGAGGATTTTCCAAAAAAGATCAGCTTTGGGAGATTTACTGTGTTTTGCCAATCGCCCGCTCTCTGTAGCACACGCATTTTGGCTACCAATAAATACAGTCAAAAAACTTTGAGTGATAAAAATTAAAACCAGAGTAGACACCAAGCACTTTTCACTGCCGTGTATCAATATCAGTGACACTTTAATTGGAAAGATGGCTTGTTTTAACTTCTTGCCCGAAGCAGGGAGGTCTCGAGCCTAGATGGGCTGTGGGAGCAGCCCCTAAGGGGTGACAGACCGGTGTCCTTGTCCCTGCCTGGTGGGTGCTGTTCCACCAGTTTCTTGGAGTCAATTATTCCAAGAAAAGCAATGGAGAAATCCTCTGCTTCCTCTGACCGGTTCCTCGTCTGCCTGGTTTGACGCAGGATCTGTGTTTTGCCCATTCTGCCCTTAATACCCTTAATCTCTGGGCTGCGTCTATTCTGGATTCATAGAAGAAGATTATCTGTCATAAAAGTGTTGTGATGGAAAATTTCTGACAGGTTCTTGACTCTGAACGTGAAAATGCATTAAAGTCAGAGGCAGAAATTTGCCATTTTGTTTTTCATGAATACTGAATTTAAAAAGTAAAAGTTCTCCCCAAATGTTTGGACCAATAAAATTCAACTTAAAGGCTTCACAAGCACAGAGAAAGCAGGCTGGAACCATAGCAAATTTATTTAAAGATTCGAAAAAGATTCCTCCATCCTTTTATCTGGTGTTGGGACACAGATAAAAAAATAACTTCAGAAAACTGAATGTAAAGGTAAACTGGCAGAAAGACATATCTGCTCCCTGAATCTCAAGGCAACATATTCACATGAGCCTGAACATTCATGTTTTAAGTTTCATTACCCCATGTGCTCATTTTAGCCTAGTGCCCATCTAGCTAGAGAAGGAGAAAAATTCTCTTTGAATGTCTACACTAGTACTGTCCAATTACTTGTAATTAGTAAACAAACATGCAAAGAGACACCAGAAACTGTTGAGGGGGTTCACTGTAACCAAACATTTTGGAATAGATCTAACAGAGCACAGCAATATCACAGGTATTAAATACAAGCTTCTCCCAATTTGATCCTAAACACTGATGCTCACCCTGGATCCAACCGCTTGTCTCTCTGTTACTGAATAAAGAGCAACTGAAACATCTTCAAGTGTCTGGGAAGGGTGCAGGGAGAGGCAATGCTATGGCTAACCTGGAAGGGTACTGGAGTGAGACAATACTACAAGGAATCTGAATTTCAGCCTTCCTTCTATCACTCAGGACTGATTAGCAAGCATTTTCCTACAGCTTCTCTTTATAGTTTACACTAGAAATTGTCAGCCTGTTTTTATGCTCTGCTTTGCTGAATGATGGGGAAAAAGGAGGGTTTGCCAAAGAAAAAGGATAGTAAAAGCAGGGAAAATGAGCTACATACTTGCAGCTACAGTAAAAGCATCTCGGCTTTAGTGTTGTCCTCTTGTGAGGTTTTACACGGTGCTTTAAATTATGATACATTAGCCTTGGGAGAAAATACTAAAAAGCATTCATGTACAACACAGAATATCCCAGACAGCTAAAGAATGAAATATGGAGCTTTTGTTCTTTACAATCCAAGTCTTCCTTTACTAAGTATAAACATTTATTGCATTAAAATGTATAGACTTACATACAAATTTTCCAGAGAATTTTTTCCCATTGTTAAGTATTTTATATCCACAATAATACAGTGTAATGGCTGAAGCAAAGATGAGGTGGCAGTGCTCATTGTGTGAAAGATGAGTAATAAAATCATCAGCGTACAAATGATTTTTTAATTAGGTTTTAATCTGTGTATTTAGAGAAGTTATTTCTGTGTGAATTCCACACTGATAATTTTTATCTTGGTGCCACAGCTGCAGTCGCTAATGGCAGATGCCATGGACACCCTTGAAGGAAGAAGTGATAAAGGACGTGTGTGGAATAAAATTCAAAAGGTAAAAACCTGCAGCAAAAGGCAGGAGAGTATATTGTTCCCTGAAGAGTAAGTGTCCACCTGAGTCAGGTCTGTTCAAAAGGTAGAAAAGAAAGTGGGTGCCATTGGAAACGTGTGCCTTGAACTCTGCAGAGCTCAGGCACTGGCCACAAATACATATTTCTTATTTGCTGTAGCCTTCAGAGTTGATTTAAAAAAAAAAAAAAAGGGAAAAAACAAGCAAAAAAAAAACCCACACAAACCCTGAATAGGTTATTCTTGACTGATAATTATACATCTTTTTTGCTCTTCCGTCTTTGTCATACGAACTAGAGTGCTAATTGGGAGAGGGATGGAGTTGTTAGGGAGTAAAATTCAGTCCAACAGCTCATGTCTCTTAGTGGAGCTCAGATGAGACTTTGGTGATGTGAGAGGTAAAAGACATGCAAATGCCTTTCTCGAGTCTCTGCACAGCAACAGGTCAATACAATTCTTAAAGGATTTGCAGAATGCAGGGAGCCTTGTGTCGGGTCGCTGTACAGATGAATCTGACCCGACGTAATGAATAATAGGTCCGTCTGGGATGCAACAGGAGCATCTGACATTTTTACAAAGTCTTTCAAACCAGAGCAAATCACAGCTCTGGGCATTCAACACCATCGACATTCAGCCGCTTCTGAGGAAAAGAGGAGCAACGCTTCACCAGGAAGGGAAAATTTTACTAATGGTTCAAAGCTTTACTCTCTCAGGGAAGATACTGAAAACCCAAACCCTGGCTGCACTGAGTCGGAGTAGCCAGGATAAGCAACTAAGACAAATGTCTGGAGGGAATCACAGGCGTGGAGGGGCAAGGTATTTTCAGAGTCCACATTCCCAAGTGATTTGAATCAAAATTGCATCTCCTTCTGAGAGAAAGTCTGAGTAGGTGTATCTCCTCAGTTAGCTGTCAGATCAGTGGCTCTTAGTAAAGTTTTCCAAGTACAGAGTGTTTTCTGAAAGTAACCAAAACCTAAATGCCCAAAGCTGTAGACAGGCTGGACTTCATCTCTTTCAAACACTCATGAGGCAGAACAGAGGATAAATATTCACACCTTTTACACTGTGCCAGGGTAGTCTCTACATCTCCCAACACCTGCCTATGATCATATGAGGATCTTCTGCAACACAAATGCTACATATGATACCAATTATTTATATTTATACAGTTGCATACGTATTTCCTGCTATATATAATAAGCATCGGTAGCTGGATGAATGCAGAGTCCAGGATATATTTACAAATAGCCTATTCCCTGTACATCTCTAGCACTTATCCGTCCCATTTTCAGACATTCAACTGAAATATGAAAGAGAGTCTTCCAAAGTTTTTCCAAAAGTCAGAATTTTAATCCCTGGTTAAGTGTTTGCCTAACTTGCCCAATTTGCACAACTCTGAACAAGCACAGTTCAGAGGTTGGTGAGGAAGAATCACAGCTGAAAGTTAGACCAAGTACACCGATATCTAAATATTTATTAAAGGCTCATTAAAAGTGTGTGGGTGGTACCAAAAAGTTTCACATGTATTTCAACAGTCGGTGGCTAGTATTTCATTGTAAATTCAGTAAAACAAAGCATTTACTTTCAGCGTTTTCACACATATTCATTTCTCTTGATACTTTTAGTATAATCTTAATGGAAATCAAGCTAACATTTAAAAACGGACCGGAATATCATGTTATGCCACATGAATCCGTGCATAACTCAATATTCAGGAATAATACTGGCTCCATGAAAATCTGCTCTCTGCCATTTTAACATTTGGTGCTTCAAAATTTGTTTGCATTCTGTACATAGTTTTGCATTTCATTTTTGACAACTCGGATAACTATTTGATGAGGCATCCTCTTCCAAGCGGAACTCACGGTTAATTATGCACTTACTGTTAAAAATATTTTTCTATATTATATCAGAACAAAGGAATGAAGAGCATCATCAAATATTTCTTTTCTCTTCTACTTTTTTCCAGAATTTAATTTCATCATATTCAGCATGTTGTCAGGAAAAAATTCTCTTTAAATAGGGGATACAGGAAAGCACTCAGGGAGGTTGGAGAGTTTTTTTGTTGGTTTGTGTTGTGTCTTGTGTTGTGTTTTTTTTAAATCAACTCTAATTAAAAATGTTACGCTAGGTTAAAGAACTCTAACACATTACTGAGAAGGAGGATTAAATCTGATGATTAAAAACTGATGTAGTGTGGATTACCACACATCACCTGTGCTAGAATCATTTCAAAAAGTTCCGTATTTCTCAGTTCGCTCATTGTGTGATGCGGATTGTAGGAGCCTACAAAGAACCTTCACACAGGTCTAGTTACAAGGCAGTTATTTGTATTTTTGCTATTGAATTAATTTACATATATTGGAAAGCGACAAAGAACATAAAGGCGTTCATACAACCAGCTATAAACACAAAACTCTGGGAAGCTGACAGCTACGCTACCACCAATGACGATTGGCTTTTGCAACAGAAACAGCTGTTGCACCTAATGAAAGCACTCAACGTCGTTCTGTAATGCGGTAGGATTATAGCGCTGCCTATTTTCCAAATGGTTAAAGGGTCTGTCAGAATTGCCATCGCAAACCACTGTTTTCAGAGTTTTATATTCTAGAGTCAGCCATAAAAAAATTCATTCAGGCTGCAGTCTGACATAGAAGGGCACAAAGCCGGACACCCAAACACTTTTGCTTTAGTCACAGTGGAGGGCTTATCAAATAAATTTGAGATTAATCTGAGCAATTTTGAATTTGCAGGATTGACAAAGCAGTAATACGCGTGTAGCTTCAAGTGTTTTGGGTGCTGTGCCGCACGTCCAATTCACTGACAAATTTATGTTTTTAAGCAAACTAATCGATCAAGCAGGCTCGTTATTTCTGGAAGCTTTAAATACAGAGAAATGAAAAATGACCTCGTAATTAGCTGGAGAAAAAGAGAACATCACTGCACAGAAGATGCTTTTCTCGGTATTATCAGGCTACAGACTCTCCAGCCACAAGGAGAGCTCACCCAGGAGAGCCTAGATTACCTTGGAAGGCTAAAAAAGATCCTCTACAGAGGCTTTACCCACTCGCTAGATGTCCCTGCGGAATGCCACAGAGGCAGGAAAAATGGGCCAGGCCAGTCTCCCCACATCTCTAATCTCCAGGATTTTACGGGTACATTTCCTTGCAGTCCCCTGGATAAAATGTGAGCTTTGTGTTAAGCGATTTGGGGAAACAGATCCCTGGGTCTAAAATCTTTCAAGCATGTAACAGAGTTAGTTGCTCAGTCCCAACCTACTTCTACTTTTCTAAAAACAAAAAAATTACCACCTTCCTTCTTTTTGCAGTCAGAAATTCCCAAACTGAATTTGCTGGTGGCCAGGCTAGAAGATTGAAGGCACCACACTACAGCTTAGGAATTATTTTATTATTTTTTTTTAGTTACTGGTGCTGTCCCAATTGTATTATAGGTTGAGTTGTGAAGGTACTTAAATGTCACACTGTTAGCGATGCATGAGAACGGACTTCTCTGAAGCCACCTTTATGAACGGAAAACCCTTCTAAAGTAGTCAATAGGAAATGTTATGGGAAAGAGCATCAAACCCTCTCTTTTAACGAGGCTTAAGTCTTCACTGGTGAACAGAGATAGAAATGTATTTTTGCTTACTGAACTTTAAAGTGTAAATTCTCTCCTTAATTCAAATTACATTTGATTTTATTATTTTAACAATGATTTCTGATGCACAAGGCTCAGCAGCAATGAACAGGAAACTTCCAAAAGAGGTTGAGGGGAACTAATCTGATAACTCAGTCGAGTCACTGAGTCTTAAGCAGAAGGGAACACAAGCACAACGGCCAGGTCTGGCCATTATTGACCAGCTTTTTTGCTGACATGGTTACATATGATGTAGGAGACATCTGATCTGAATATGAATGCCAGGATGCGTGGTAAAGCCTGGCCCTGAGTAATTCAAGGAACCAGGTCTCTCTGCATTGCCATTGCAGGACTTTATAGCAGCTACAGACAGGCAAATGGGTTTAGAGTATCTCAGGTACATAAAACAGCAGGAAGGCTTCCCCTTTCCTCTACAGGATCTTTGCTTCTCTGCAGTCTTGTAAGAAAAAAATAGGAAATCTTGTACGAAAAAAATCAGGAAATAAGGAGATTACTTTCCTATCTCCTAAGAGTAAATTCATTAATAAAATCTCACAGTACTGTTACAGTGAGAGTTATTTCATTAAATAGGTGGTTTGGAGCCTATCAACCAGCAACTTTTGACATCCAAAGAGAGGAGAGCCATGTAAGTGCAAATGCCAGGATGGCTCTGCTTCCCCTCAAGAAGACAATAATGTTGTTCTTCTTCTCCATTTAGCCCCTAGGCTTTCATAGCAGTTTCACAAGATCCTCTTAAGATCATCGGAACAGCCAAAGGAGAGACAGGAGTTGGCAAATAAACACTTTCCGACACTTCATGTGAGACACTTCATAAAACCTTCACATCTGAGTTTACCTCAAGGGCATCACATACTTTGCAATTTAGATAAGTTATTACGCCCATCATTTGCTGAGCTCAGTGGAATGCCTGTTTCGTAAATCTGAAAGCAGAGCAAACATGGATGAGTGGATAAAAGAACAGATGTAACTTATGTAAGGATAAGTATGTAACAAAAGCTGCACTAATATATGTGAATATGAAATGAAGTAAAATTAGCCTAACACATTATATAATCTTTTAGCCAGGCACATAGATCCTCAGCAGTTGACCTCTGCTTCCTGCACCTCTGTCTTCTGCAGCAGCAGGGAACACTATCTGATGAACTGTGCTCTTCCACTGACATTATCTCTTAATTGAAAATCAAGCCATGGAAAAGGGCCGTAGGCACGGCGAGCTTTCGGTCAGACAGAGGAGCAAGGAGGGAGATTCATAGTATGTTGATGGAAAGTGGACGTGTTGCTGAATAGCATTGTGCTGGCTACTACGACAGTTATTTGATGTGTATGACT